TGAAGGACTTTTGGGTATTGAAAGGCAAAAAAAATATTTGTTTCTTTAATTTTGGAGAAAATTACTATAAAAGGAAAATTTTTAAGAAAAAATTTGTGTACGGGAAAGAGTTTATGTTAAGTATTTAGAATAATATCATAAACTATTATATATAATAAAAATATTATTATTATTATTAAATCTATTAACTATATATAATTTTAAAAAGTTTTTATATTTTATTTAAATAATATTTTTAATAATATTTTTATAAAGTATAAAAATAAAAAACAACTTTTTTTCAAACTTTTGTTTTTTTTGAAGAGTTAATATTATAAGACTAAAATAAATATAAATAATTTTTTTTGTTATAGTTTTTTAGAAATATATTTATTATAATAGTAATGGATATTTAATATTAAACTTGTAATTTGTATTCAAATTTTTTACTTTGACAAAAAAAAACTTACAACTATAATAAGCTTTTAATAAAATATTTTATAAATAAAAATATTTATGATTTTTAATTAATTGAAAATATTATTTTCTATAATTTCATATAACCAATGATATCAAGATTTAAGTTTTAACTTTATTACTATTATACAATATGCAGTATATGAATTTTATACATGCAAAGTTTTCTTTTGAACTAATGAAAATATACACTTAAAATCCCCCAAAACCTGTATAAATAAACAGGTTACAGGTACAACAAAGAAAAATATATAATATATAACAGAATAATCTTTACATTTGTATAATAAAGTAAACTTTTAATGCCTTTCCGATGCATCGATCGAAGATTTGCGAAAAAAAAAAAGTGAAAAAAATTCATGTTATTCAGAATGTTTCTATAATGAAATGAGTTTGTTCTACAAATATATGTATATTCACATACGGAAAGTATTTTTTAAAAAAAAAAAAATAAATAAAATTCGCTCCAGAATCACCACCAGATAAAGTCTTGACAAAGTGTATATACATATATATATATAGTGAAATTTTTATCTCTTTATACAATTCACGAAATGTCGTTTGTTAAGATCGTCTAACATACGATATAAACGACCCTTCCTTAGCCACCTCTTATTCGAATTGCGATATTTTTCCCGTTCGCGGTTAAGTACTTCTTCTACTACATTCTTCCACACCGCTTTCTCGTTAATAATACCTAGATCTGTAGATGATATCAAATCGGTTGAAGATTTTTTGGAGCTCACAAAATCAACCTTTAAAGATATATCTAATGCATCAAAAAGTTCTTGAAGAAACCATTTCCGTTTCATTCCTTTCTCTGACACCATTTTTAAATGCTCCGGCTTAACTCTGACTCCAGCTTCTACATACTTTGTGAAATATTGTGGTGGCCCTTGAAGCACAGATTCATCCATATCATTCCTACTAAGCCCGCGGAAACGACCACGGTTAACCTGTACCTTCGAATCCTTTTCACAAATGTCTCTGACGATGGCTTCAAAACATCTTTCAGTAATGTTATCTTTTGGTCCAAATGTTTTGATGATAAATTCTACTCCCACACAACCGATACCACAGCCATAATAACTTGCGTCGTCTCTACTACATATAACTCCCCCAGTTCGTGAATCCGAAAAAAGTGTGTTGAGATTCTCCCTTATCTTTGATCGAAATTCAGGAAAGTAATGCCAAAGAGATTCAATGTTGTCGGGTGCACCATTGTATGAATATATTGAATGAAATTTATCATCAATAGAGTGAGAAACAACGGCGTTAAGATCGAATGGTAAAGTATCCTTGCGCTCTATCAAAGTTTCAATTATAACATTTGGGATCTTATACAACCCACAATTTCGAATTAATTCCAATGCTAGTTGTTTTAACACGCTATAGTTAAAACTAAAGATATTTTCTAAAGTTTTTTTTAGATGAACAGGAATTGGTTTGTTATAAATCAATTTCTCGACAATCATAGGAACGATGTTCACGAATTCATAGTGATCAAAATGGGTCAGATCATTTAACGCCATGTCTAATAGTTGTGTATCACCTATACGAGCTATTGTTACAAAAGTATCCGAGATGTTGGCGAAGCAATATTGCAAAGGTAAGGGTACCACATGATATTTCTCCACCAAATCACGAATATGCTCCCTATTGGAATCATGAGTTACGGAATTATTTATTAAATTACTGTCCCTATTATCGAAATCTAAACCAGATTGTAAGGAAACACAAATACGAAATTGTTCCCAGTCGTCCATAGCATCTTTTGCCCATAAATTCTCACCATATAGGGTGTAAGCCCGTTGGAGGAGTGCCAGGTAAGCACCAAAGGCTAATTTGCTAGTCCAACAACAGCGAAAATATTCACTTGGCTGCCTTTCCAAATAATCCTTTATTAAACGTTGTGCTAGATTCCTTGATACTATGGCGCCAGAGGAAATTAAGGCTTCGGCTGTTTCTTTTGTGACTATCTTAGCATGGTTTCGTATAGCATAAAATATAGCCAACCTAGTTCCGTACTTGCGAATAAGGTAGGCGGCTCTTGCATAAGGATCTTTCGATACATAGTGAAGAGTTCTGCAAGTTAAAGAAAAGGCTGCAGGGCGGTGAAGGAATGTGAAAATTTTGAGCAATAATTCATTGGCCAGAAGGTCAAGAGTTTTTGACATTTGAATTTGGAGGGCTTCAAGAGTCAAGACTAGGATATTGCTTGACTTATTTAATTTCTTCAGATTAAATATCAGTTAAGGAACACTGATAACAACGGTCGGGGTGGGAGTTGGGGGGATAGGAGAGAATCATTTTTTTTTTACGTTTGAGATAATTGGAAATGATCAGCATAGAAAATATAAAAAAGTATTCAAATTAGTATATAAAAGTATATTCTTTTTATAAATCCCTACTTATAGAGATAAATCGAAGTTTGAAGTTTTAATATATATATTTGTTATTTATAATTTTTATAAATTATAAATTAAAATAAATATTTAATATACGGTGTATAACGTATTATAAACTTTGAAAATTTATTATATTTAAATTTATAAAAATTTTAAATAAATATTTATAATTTTTTTTTAATAAAAACTTATTTTTTTTGAATGATTGGTAGTTTATAATTCTTGTATTTTTCTATTTTAAAGATTTTGTAATTATTTTATATTATATATATTTCTATTTAAAATTTTTTTTTTGTTTTTTAAAATATAAGTATAAAAATAAATATTTTAATAAGTTTTTCCTTATAAGAAATATAAATATAATATTAAACTTTTATATTTTTTAAAAAAATTTTTTATTTATATTTATAATAAGTTTAATCTTAACTGTATTACAAAATTTATATTATTTTAATAACTTAAATATTTTAAAAATTTATAAGTTTAAATATTATATTAAATAAAATTGTAATAAAATTGTATTGTTAAAAATATATAAAATATATAGTATATATAAACATATTTAATAATTTAATTGTAAAATTTATTATTTAAATAACTAAAAATATTAAAAATATATTATTTAATAAACCAATTTAAAATTATTTATAGCAATAAAATTCTATAAAATCAAATTATACTATTTATTTTTAAATATTGTTTCACAATAATATTAATTCTTATTAAAAAATAATAGAAAATTTAAATAAAATTATTAATTATAAGAAAATAAATTAAAATATTTTTTTTAATAAAAACTCTTTCCCACTTCTCCTTTTATATTTGAAAATTTTTTTTTTAGGAAATTTTTGAGTTATTTACTTTTTTTTTCATCTTTTCCTTTTTCTTTTCTTTATGTCTCCCTTTCCATATCTCTTTATTTCCTTTCTCCTATCTTCTTTTTTCTCTTCTATATACTTTTTTATATATTTTATATTCTTCTCTTCCTCTTTCCTTTTTTTTTTTTGTTAAAGTTAGGTTTTCTCTTTTTTTTGAAGGTTTTCCTTCCTAGATCTCTCTTTCTCTTAAAAACTCTATTTCCATAAAATCACTTCTCTAGTCAGTTGACTCCCTTTCCTCAAGAACCATATTAAGAAGTGGTAACCTTTCTTAAAATATGGACTTTAGGAAATTTTCTTTCTTCCATAATTTCTCAGAAAAAGAATGGATGGTTTATTCCCTTCAGAAGATCGACATAGTCATAATTATCAAACTCAGCGTTGTTTACCAATCAGCAGTTAGACTAAATACATTCAAAAAATCTTTGTATAACTATTATTATCTGAAAATATTCAAGAAGTTGTGTTCCACAATATCCAGAATAAAATAGTAACCAATGCCAATGCAACTAGCAATAAGCTAGGTTAGTTGCAGGTATTATGCTAGTGATTAATGAATTTAGTAGAGTAATACATAATGATTAGGAATTCTAATTACTTCTGAAAACAAGCTAATAATGACAACAAAAGTTCCTTACTTACCTCTCAAACAATATAGGTCTATTGTGCAAGGTTAGGTTCTAGTGTCATTAAGAAAACTAATATAAACTCTACCTATAAGATACTTTTATCATACTTGAAGCATGAGTGTATCAAATCCTTTTTGTACTTGGAAGCAAACCTGCATAAAGTGACTGCAGTGCCTTTATACAAAAAGATATTCACTTCCTATCACCTCCAACACTACTTTGCTTGCTATACATCAAGTCATATTTGGAAAGTAGACGTGTTAATCCTAATTATGACTTGGAGGCCAATCTGTATAAATTGGCTGCAGTACCTTCATGTGATTAGATATTCATTTATTTCTAAATAGCTAGACACCATTCAAAGTAATAATATAGATTTTTGAATTTTTTTTTTCTATATTTCTTGAATGATGCTAAAAGAGCATAGGAATTGGATTTCATATGGAAGCCTTGCATTAAACTTTTCTTAACAAAGAGAAACATATGTCATGCTATTGATATTGTATCTTGTTTTGCAAGTAAAAGTATAATAAATATAATAAAACATAATAACTATTTGCTTTTTTCAAAAATATATATATATATAGTCAAACCTAGATATTCAAAATTCATTATAAAAAGAGAATTTTATTATATAAATTTTAAAAATTCTTTATAATAAATTTTTAAACAATTTTTTTCAATTCTTACTAATTAATCCAAAAACTTCTAACAGTAAAATTATTAGTATTTTAACAAATACTAGTAGTAAAAAATATTAGGACTAAATATAAAAATATTTTATTTTTGATAAAAATTTAAAAAACCTTAATACAATTATTGTAAAATATATATTAATATAAACAAAAATAGTACTACTAGTACATTAAAATATATTAAAAATAAATATCCAATAAAACTATCAAAAAATAATCAACTTATATTACATGAAGC